TGCAGCGAGGAGGCAGTGGAGATGTCCTGTCTATGGGCAATGCGTGGTGTGAATATCATGCAGAAAATTCGGAGTGTGGAAATTAGGAGAAGGTGTGGAGTACATAAAAGTATTTGTCAGAGGGCTAAAGAGGAAATGTTGAGGTGGTTTGGTGATTTAGAGAGAATGGATCAAAGTAGAATGACATGGAGAGCACATAAATCTGTAGGGGAAGGAAGGCGGGGTAGGGGTCGTCCTCGAAAAGGTCGGAGGGAGGGGGTAAAGGAGGTTTTGTGGGTGAGGGGCTTGGACTTCCAGCAAGCGTGTGTGAGCGTGTTAGATAGGAGTGAATGGAGACGAATGGTATTTGGGACCTGACGAGCTGTTGGAGTGTGAGCAGGGTAATATTTAGTGAAGGGATTCAGGGAAACCTGTTATTTTTATATAGCCAAACTTGAGTCCTGGAAATGGGAAGTACAATGCCTGCACTTTAAAGGAGGGGTTTGGGATATTGGCCGTTTGGAGGGATATGTTGTGTATCTTTATACGTATATACTTCTAAACTGTTATATTCTGAGCACCTCTGCAAAAACAGTGATTATGTGTGAGGTGAAACTGTTGAACGATGATGGGTCACCCTACCTCGGTGGGAGACAACCGACTTGTTGAAAAAAAAAGTAAAATAAATACAATTATATTTTTTGTAACACTGGCTGTCTCCCACCGAAGCAGGGCGACCTGAAAAGGAAACACTTTCACCATCATTTACACTATCAATGTCTTGCCAGAAGCCAACAGATACAAGTTCAGGTGACTCTCCAAATAGCAAATGCAAATAAATATCACACATGCACACATAAGACAAGCCATGTGAGGATAGAAATGTTCAGCTCAAGATCTTTCACACATCTCCAAGCATCATCAGGAGCTATGCAATGTTGTAAGAGCAGCAACAGGTAGACTGGTCTTTTTGATTATAATAATAATAACAGGTAGACTGAGCTAAGTTTTTCTCTGAGGAAAGTTAGCACATTGATGCTGACTGGCATCAACATGCTACCTTTCTGTGTCTGGCACACAATCTGCAATGTTACTGCTGGAGCTTTACTGCTTCCCTGACTTATTCTAAGTTTTTCTGGGTCACAACTAGAACACATGGGAATATTGTGCTGTATTGTAACAAACTATTTCTATAAAGTTGAGTACAGTACATTATACAGTTATGGTAACTGACATACATAAACTATTTTACAGTAAGCCCCTTATTAAGCAAGGCATTTCTAGCAGCTTTAAAACTGGAGTGCATTACTGTAATGTACTCTACTGTATTGTACTTTCAACTCTTTTTTTCAGGTAATACTACAGTGTAATGTATTCTAGTTTATTCTTAGTATATCAAGCAATCCATCAATACAGTGGACTAAGTCTGTTTTAATGGGTGTTTATCCATATCCATGTCCAGTAGTCTAAGTGGACTACAATTGCTTAATTGCAACATTCAATATGATGGATTTTTCACAAAAGAGGACACTCTTTCCCCCATTAATCTCTTTTACTGAACATTTACTGTAAAACTGTAGGGGTCATATAGCACTTGTGGAATGGGAGGCATTCAATTTCAATCCAAGAAGGGGAAGAAAAGTCCAGTTCCTTTGATCAACAGCCCCTCACCAGCATCTAGGCAAAATATTGCAATAAAGTAAAATATTACTACAGTATTTTACTACATCAACAAACTTGCCAGCATGAAAAAAAAAAAAAAAACTCAGTAGGTACTATCCTTGCATCAGTCATTAAATTCAAAAGAGGTAAAATTATTTAACGTGATTTAATGGTAAAAGTAGGTCTTAGACAGGGATGTGTAATGTCACCATGGTTGTTTAATACATTTAAAGATGGGGTTGTGAAAGAAGTAAATGCTAGGGTGTTGGGGAGAGGGGTGGGATTAAATTATGGGGAATCAAATACAAAATGGGAGTTGACACAGTTACTTTTTGCTGATGATACTGTGCTTATGGGAGATTCTAAAGAAAAGTTGCAAAGGTTAGTGGACGAGTTTGGGAGGGTGTGTAAAGGTAGAAAGCTGAAAGTGAACATAGAAAAGAGTAAGGTGATGAGGGTATCAAACGATTTAGATAAAGAAAAATTGGATATCACATTGGATAGAGGGAGCATGGGAGAAGTGAATGTTTTCAGATACATATTTAGAAGTTGACTTGCCAGCGGATGGGTTTATGAAGGATGAGGTTAATCATAGAATTAATGAAGGAAAAAAGGCGAGTGGTGTGTTGAGGTATTTGTGGAGACAAAAACGTTATCCATGGAGGCAAAGAAGGGAATGTATGAAAGTATAGTGGTACCAACACTCTTATATGGGTGTGAAGCTTGGGTTGTATATGTTGCAGCAAGGAGGCGGCTGGAGGCAGTGGAGATGTCCTGTCTAAGGGCAGAGAATTCGGAGGTGTGGAGTTAATAAAAGTACAGTGGACCCCCGCATACTGTTGGCATCACATAACGTTAAATCTGCATACCGATACATTTTATCGCTAAGATTTTGCCTCACATACCGCTAAAAAACCCGCTCAACGCTATTCGTCCGAGACGCGTCTAATGTGCGGCCTGAGCCAGCCTCACATGTTCCGCCGGTGGCATTGTTTACAAGCCAGCCTCCGCGGTAACATCCAAGCATACAATTGGAACATTTCGTATTATTACAGTGTTTTTGGTGATTTTATCTGCAAAATAAGTGACCATGGGCCCCAAGAAAGCTTCTAGTGCCAACCCTGTGGTAAAAAGGGTGAGAAATATTGTCGAAATACTGTGGTATCATGGTCAACTGCTGATGCTGCTGCTGCTGTAGCACTGTCAGCTGCTGCTGTGCTGCTGCTGTAGCACTGTCAGCTGCTGCTGCTGCTGCTGTAGCACCGTCAGCTGCTGCTGCTGCTGTAGCCACCGTCAGCTGCTGCTGCTGCTGTAGTACCGTCTGCTGCTGCTGTAGCACCGTCTGCTGCTGCTGTAGCACTGTCAGCTGCTGCTGTAGCACTGTCAGCTGCAGCTGCTGCTGCTGTAGCACTGTCAGCTGCTGCTGCTGCTGTAGCACTGTCAGCTGCTGCTGCTGCTGTAGCACCATCAGCTGCTGCTGCTGCTGTATCACCGTCAGCTGCTGCTGCTGCTGTATCACCGTCAGCTGCTGCTGCTGCTGTAGTACCGTCTGCTGCTGCTGTAGCATCGTCTGCTGCTGCTGTAGCACTGTCAGCTGCTGCTGTAGCACTGTCAGCTGCAGCTGCTGCTGTAGCACTGTCAGCTGCTGCTGCTGCTGTAGCACCGTTGTTGATGTGGCTTATTGAGAATACCAAGAAACAATTAACCCCAGAGGGTTAGCCACCCAGGATAACCCAAAAAAGTCAGTGTCATCGAAGACTATCTAACTTATTTCCATTGGGGTCCTTAATCTTGTCTCCCAGGATGCAACCCACACCAGTCGACTAACACCCAGGTGAACAGGGAAAAATGCCTGGAACTAGTGCTCATATTGGTGAATTTAAAGCCAGCAAAGGTTGGTTTGAGAGATTTAAGAATCGTAGTGGCATACACAGTGTGATAAGGCCTGTTCTGGAAGAAAATGCTGAACAGGACCTACAGTACTCAGGAGGAAAAGGCACTCCCAGGACAGTGTCTCATCAGTCATTGCTCCATCTTCAATAAAGGTAAGTGTCATTTATTCTTCATTTAGTAGAGTAGTACATGCACAATACATATTGTGCATGTACTACTCTACTATTGTGCATGTATCCTTCTCTTTGTGTGTAGGAAAATGTATATTTCATGTGGTAAAATTTTTTTTTCATACTTTTGGGTGTCTTGCACGGATTAATTTGATTTCCATTATTTCTCATGGGGAAAATTAATTTGCATAACGATAATTTCGCATAACAATGAGCTCTCAGGAACGGATTAATATCGTTATGCAGGGGTCCACTGTATTAGTCAGAGGGCTGAAGAGGGGTTGTTGAGGTGGTTTGGCCATTTAGAGAGAATGGATCAAAGTAAAATGACTTGGACAGCATATAAATCTGTAGGCAAAGGAAGGCAGGGTGGGAGTTGTCCTCAAAAAGGTTGGAGGGAGGGAGAAAAGGAGGTTTTGCGGGCGAAGGGCTTGGACTTTCAGCAAGCATGTGTGAGCGTGTTAGATAGGAGTGAATGGAGACAAATGGTTTTTGGGACCTGACGAGCTGTTGGAGTGTGAGCAGGGTAATATTTAGTGAAGTGATTAAGGGAAACTGGTGATTTTATATACCTGACCTTGAGTACTGGAAATGGAAGTACAATACCTGCACTTTAAAGGAAAGGTCTAGGATATTGGCAGTTTGGAGGGATATGTTGTATATCTTTATATATGCTTCTGGGTCCCTCTGCAAAGACAGTGTTTATGTATGAGGTGAGTGTGTTGAATGATGATGAAAGTATTTTCTTTTTGGGGGTTTTCTTTCTTTTTGGGTCACCCTGCCTCAGTGGGTGATGATTACTACTACTACTACTTTTCTTCTTTTCTTTTCTTCTCCTCTTCTTCTTCTTCCTTTTCTTTTCTTTTCTTCTTTTCCTCTTCTTCTTTTCTTCTTCTCTTCTTCTTCTTTTCTTCTCCTCCTCTTCTTCTTGTAGAAGAAAAAAATTCACACAGAAAATCGTCAACTCTGCACCATTAAGGCTTTTAAAGTAATCTGAGCTGTTCCAAGAGGACGGGAATGGGTTGGACATCTCTGGTCATAGGGCATGTAAGTATGGCAACTGTTCCAAAAATCTGATTCTCATTGCAACACATAAGTGTTGAAAATTTGAAGACAATTGGATGAGGCACTCGAGTTATGAGCCAAATAAAATTGAAAAGTTAGAGAATGAAGGTACCTCTTTGGGGATACCTAGTTAGTAACTAATGGATCACAAAGTTATCTGTTATAAAAAAAAAAAAATGTTTTAGGAAAAAAAAAAAATTGCATGCTTTAGCACAAATTAAAAAAGTTTACCTGATAACTCTCAGTGCAGCGAGTAGAAATTATGTTTCCACCAGCACTTTCTAGAGCATGATCTACCATACCAGTCTTGTCTGCATCGTATTTCATGAGGGCATCTTTCACAATCTGAATCACAGCAGATTCGTTCAGTCCAGTAATAAAAGGCATTCCAGTTGAAACAGAGGAATATGTGGAACCATTATTATTCTTGGAGAGGTTTACAGTGGCAAAAAGAGAAGCATCACCACTACTGGTAGAGGTGGAGAGACCCCTGCTAGCAATTCCAATCCTTCACCAGTTTCTTTCATCTGCAAAATATGGCAAATTTTTAACATTTTTTACCCTATCCTATTTATATCAGTTTTCCATTTTTTCCAACATATATAGTATTGCCAAGACACTGCTCAATCTTTCCACAAATTCTCAAATCTTGGTGGAACTGGTGATTGCTGCATGTATGTACTGTCCAGGCCAACTTGTGATAGCAGGTATGCTATCCTTCAGCTGCCATGAACATGTGAAGGTTATTTGAAATGTTGGGAAATAAGCTAGACATGAAGCCTTTTCTGCAAGGTTGCTGAAGTCCCAAAGGAAACAAGGAATCAAATATTCAAATATACAAAATTATGAATTTATATGTCAAAAGAATTCTTAAAACCTTACCTTTGAATGCTGATCACCTGCCTTACTTGCCTCGACTTCCGCAACAGCTTCTGCAACAGCTATTGATACTGTCTCATTCACTGCAGTGGAAACAGCAGATGGTAAGACTGATGCAACTGCCTCTTGTGCAGCAACTGCAACAAAATCTTGTATTTCTGCACTTACAGTCTTTTTAACTGCATCATTTACAGCAATTACCAAGGCCTCTGATACAACTTTAGGTAGTGCAGTTTCAACAGCCTTGGGCACAGCATCAGCTATGGCATCTGATATAGCTACTTCTACTGCATCAGGAATAGCATGAGCGACAGCATCAGTAACAACAGTATCAACTGCTTTATCAACAGCTGTGTCTACAGCACCTTCCATTGCCATACTCACAGCACCTGTTACTGCTTTTGCAACAGCTTCAGGAACTGCTGCAGCAACATAATCAGGAACAGCAGTAGCCACAGCTTCTGAAACTGCTGAAGCAATAAACACTGGCACAACTTGCTTGACAGCAGCATTAACAATGTCATGTAATTGCTGTTTGGATGTGTGAAGTTGAATCTCCAGCTGTTCTGACACCTTCTGCTCTAACACAATGGCTGCTACCTCAACCTGCTCAGCCACCTGCTGTTTTGATATTTCTAAGAAGTCTGCATGCTGCTTTTGGATCTCTGAACGTAGTTTCTCCAAAACAGTTTCCATTACGAGTTGTGTCGTCTGCGCAACAGCTGCTTGAGTAGCTACCACTGCTGCTTCTTTCTCTTCTCCTGACAGAAAATAAAACAAATATTAAAAAAGTTTTTCTTAACTCAACATTCACTCAATCATCATCTTTCCAGAAGCATACTTAGAGTCAGGTTGCCCCTCCAACTACAATATCCCAGCTCCTCCCGAGTGCAGGCACTGTACTTCTCACCTCCAGGATGCAAGTCCAACTAACAGGTTTCCTTGAGTCTCTTCAAAAAAGTTACTCTGTTCACACTCCAACAGCACATTCCTTAAAAACCACTTGTCTCTATGCACTTCTACTTAACCTGCTTATCCAAGCTTGCTGGATGCAAGGTACGGGATAGGGTATAAGCCTCTCGTACCCCTTATGTTCAACCATTCCTGGGATGATCCCTCCCTCTCCTACTCTTCATCTGGTTTTATACATCTCTTTGTCAACTTACCATCCCTCTCCATCCTTTATACATACCCAAACCACCTCAACAACTCTTCCTCAGCTCTCCAATTACGTCCTTGGTCTCCCCACATCACCCTTTTATTTCGATGCTTTGAATCCTCTTCACAACATTCACACTACACATTGCTCTCAAGCATGACATCTTGTCTGCCTCTAGTCTTCTTTTCTGCTAGAGTATTAAAAACTCATGCCTCATGCCCGTATAAGTGATGATACCACTATACTCTGGCACATTCTTTCAAGGCTCCATAGATAAGCTTCTTTCTTTCCACAGATACAGTGGACAACTATAATTCGAAAGTTTACTTTCCCAAAAACTGCACTACTATTGATTTATGTGGCATATAGACTGAAAAACATATGGGAAAAAATTGGGTTGTATTCTTGAGATCTTCAAGAGATTATAGCAAATTCTTTTAATGTCATAAAAATAAGTTGTGTTAACTAACATTGTCGATGAGATGATGATGATGATATGATGCTCTTAAAAATTGAGCTCTAGTGAGTTCAGTTAAAAGAAAGTACATTAGCTAAAAAATGGTTACATTAATATTGTGTATTATTTGTTACCTACCTTCAAGTCAAGTTTGGGATGTTTAACATGTTGGAGTGAGTGAAGAGGGTGACCATGAACTTATTCCTCATTCTTTTCACTATATGACACCAAGGATTACTCATTGCATAAGACCTTATCTTTGTCTCACTCTCTCAAAGTGACTGAATCACTGATTCTCTAACACCCAACATTTGGCCATCTCCATGAAGCATGTGTCACCCTTCACCATTTCAATTTCCTCCAGTGTTCTTATGTAATATGCATAGTTTCAGGCTTAACCCTTTGAGGGTCGACAGGCCCTCTCCGAAACTCGTTCTCAGGGTCGGCCAAATTTAAAAAAAAAAAAAAAATATTTTCTCTTATGAAAAGATAGAGAATCTTTTCCTGATCATAAAGACACCAAAAGTTTGAAATTTGATAGAAAACTTACGGAATTATGCTCTCGCAAAGTTAGCGGTCTCGGCGATGTTTACGCATCGGCGATTTTGCCCACTTTGAGCCCCATTTTCGGCCAATTTCACTGTACTAGTCGACAAAAAACATGAATATTTCGCTAGAACTCCATTTTTTCTATCGAATGGGTGCAAGAAACCACCCATTTATGAAATTCAACTATCCAGTACAGTGGTCAGAATTTAGCAATTTTGCCAATTTCACACAAATTTCAAAAGATGCCAATTTCCAAATAGGGTCCAGAATAAACAAGAAAGACATTCCTGGCACTAAAATGACATTTCCTCTAGTCATTAGTCACGTCTCAAGGCCCCTCTTATATTCTTTTGCTTTCCACTTTGAATTTTTATTTCTCACAAAAAAATATAAGATTTACTGTTATGCAGACTACTGCATTAGTGTAAAAAATGGTATAAATATTATTGGTGCACTTGTGAAAGAATATTAGACTAACCAGTTGACGTGTATTGCACGCTTGGCACGATTTGTTTACTTTTGAAGTTTGGTAAAAATCGAACATTTCTGCTACTTTGAGCTCAATTTCAAGGCACCTTTCATTGTAAAACCAGTCAAAATCATCTCAATTTCTGTAATATGTCTTCCATTCTATAAAATGAGACCAAGAAAACTAGAATACAACAATAAATACCATACGAAAATACACTGCAAAGTCGCTGATTTATTCCAAAAAAATGGTCAAAGTTTTTTTTTTCTCATTATGCACTGTGCTGCAGGATTTTTTTTGACTGTGCACACTGACCACATAGACCCATTCTTTCATATGAAGGCCTACCAGCTTTCTCCCACTAGATTTGAGGTCGCTAGAATTTATGAGTACTAGAACGTCAAAAACCCCTACGCGTAAGACGTACTAGTACGACCAAAACCCTCAAAGGGTTAATCTACTTCTTTTCTTCGCCAGTATCACCTGCACTTTATTTGGAAGCTATGATAAATATCAAAAGATAAGATGGGACGATGAAATAAAGGAAAAACTGAGCAGTGTGCACCAAGCTAAAAATCGTATGGTCCAGATATGCTGACCCATGTTGGAGGCTGGTCTGTTTACACTCCATCACCCATCCCCTGCAGTGATAAGACAACAGTTGCCTATAGGTATTGGTGAGGTCTCAGGCCTGTCTGCTGTGGTGCTCACTAATATAAATCAGTGCCACCAATGGAAATGAATTTCACTCTTAAATGGAAATGGGCACACTTCTAGTGGAAATGAAAATCTAAATTTAAATTGCATAGTATTGGAAGCTAGAACTATGATTGTATGACAAGGTTTTCTAGTGTACTACAACACACCATTCACCCTTTTTCCCCCTTCATCTATTCTATGGTTCACCTGATCTTTCATAGACCCATCTACTGAAATGTCCACTCCCAAATATCTAAATACATCCACTTCTTTCATACTCCCTCTCCTTCAATCTGTTATTCAATCTAGTATTGCCTTGATTTTTTGTTATCCTCATCACCTTGCTCTTTTCTATGTTCACTTCAATTTCCTTTTACAAACCCTCACAAATTCATTTGTCTTCAGAATCCCCTAAACAAACTGTGCAATTAGCAAAGAGTAACTGGGATAACTCCCATGTATTAGGTCCAGCGTCTTTTAATCCCACACCTCTTCCCGACACCTTAGTGTTTACTAGGGCATTGGGGGATTGTTGAAATAGTCCCCCTCCCTACTACATACCTTAACCTGAGCCTCAATCTCTGCATGTAATATCTTATCTCTTCTAGTAACCTACCTCCTATGCCATACATATGCAACATCTGCCACCACATGGCTCTCCTATTCACCTTATCATATGCCTTTTCTAAATCCATAAATGCATCCCCTTACCTTCCTAAATCTTCCCTGCTCCTCTGCAATCTTACTTTACAGTAAATCACCACCTTTTGTTCCTCCATCTACTGTTTCTGCCTGTTCACAAGAGAACTATGCATGCTCTTTGCCAATTCTTTGCTATCTTCCCTTCTTCCATGCATACAGTGAACAAACAAGCCAACCACTCCAACACTATTTCCACCTGTTTTTAACATGTCTTAGCCACATATATTTCAGTTGCTTTACCCACTGCCTCACACATTTTCCACACATCCACCTAAGTTCCTCCTCATTCCTATACAATGTTACCACTCCCTGCCCCCATGCATGAAATCACTGCCTCCCCTTCATCACTAACAATCAACAAATCACAATATCCTCTCGATCTTTCCAGTATTCCAACCTCCATCTAACATCTCCCTTCTTTCATTCTTAGCTAAAAGTCATTTGCTATGAAGGAGCCCTCACTTTACTGAGCCTTTTCAATACAGCTTCTTATTCTTAGCAAAATTGGCTGATATAGACTTGCCCCCTTCTCTCACTGGCTCTTTTTGTACTTCCTCACCACTCTAACTTCCCTCTTCCTCTCCATATACTCTTGCCTTCAGAACAGTCTATCATTTTTACTAGGGATGTGCCAAAGTAGCAGTGGTATCTACTAATTTTGATACGTCTCAAAATGAGTGTAGGAATTGGTGGGTATCAACCGATTTTGATAGTATCAGTATCTGCCCAAAGTTTGGATATGTCCCACACATAATTTCTATACTGTAAAAGCCTCTTATGTTCTAATTTTTTCTCCCTTACTACCCTCTTTACCTTATCATTATCTATATTTTTACCTCATCATCATCATCTACATTAATAATATAGTACTTTGGATGTAGCTATAAACATGAAGTCAAAGGCTAAGATTAATATAAGGCAGAAATTATAAACTATGGTCACTTTACACATTAAAACAGAAAACTAAACTAACAAGATAAAATGATGATGGCATAAAATATGTAAAATGGCCCTGAAATCAGATTAAAAAACTGAAAGATAATCAAGAAGAAATGCTATCATATAACTCATAAAAATAAAAACTGAAGATAACAGAAATTTTTGTTTACAAAGAAAATTACAAATAATTTTAGGAAAGTAAAGAATACTGCACTATATATGATACAGTAACAGTATAAATTTGAAATAGGGAAAAATGCCACAATGTTGTATAAAGTTGACCATTGATTAAAAGGTAGTTATTCTCTTGAAAATGCCATGTGAATAAAAAAAATAGTGTAAAGTGAATTGAAGAACATATGAGGAAAAATAAGTTTATGTTAACTGAAGCCCACCAAAAATGCCAAGTTTTGTAGTTAAGAACATAAGCAAGGAGGAGCACTGCAGCAGGCCTGCTGGTCCATGCTAGGCAGGTCCTTCACAATCCATCCCACCATTAGGACATTTGCCTAACCCAACCTTCAGCACTACCCAAGAAACAAACCCCGATAACTCCACTCAAATCCCACCCTTTTCACTCATAAGAACATAAGAATGAAGGAACACTGCAACAGGCCTACTGACCCATGCAAGCAGATTCATGTCCCCCCCCCCCCCAGATTAGCCCAATGACCCACCCAGTCTGGTCACCTCCACTCAAGGAGCACGGCACCAGACTCAGCAGCACAAGCTAGTCAGGTCCAACTCACACCCACTCATGTATTTATCTAAC